ACACACCAACAACACCACCGTCTTTCGTCTGAACGCGACTGTTGTGGTGGCACTGACAGCCGGACAGAGAAAAACACAGAAAAATGACACCGATGACGACGGAACAAGTCAAAAGAGGAGAGAGAGAGGTTATGAAGTACGCAACAGAGGGAATCCACTACGACAACGAGGACGAGCTGATTTTGTTACGACAAAGAGCGCCAGCGTACTTCGACACAAGGGTTGACGTTCAACGGTCACTGGCAGCAAATGGAGACAGGTCAATGAGAGCACAATAGTTGCTGCTGCGCTTAAATCAAAATGCATACGTGGATGACGACCACACTATGGCATCTTGCTCTGCGAACACCCTTCACCAAGTCGTGGATTGGATGTGCAACGACCATGACATCGACATGAGCAAAAGAGATGGAGGCGGTTCGTACGACACATCAGCGTTCAAGAAGTTTGTGAGATCTCAGGCAAGAGAAAGTCAAATGTTGAAGACAGGGGGTGGTGACGAATTAAAGCCGAATGCAGCGGAGATATTGGCACTGAGCAGGATGAACGAGGTCCCTCAAAGAGATCCTATTGACTACCATGAACTGGCAACAATGGTGGTGGACGGTGTCAAGTATGTGTTACTAGACCAGATTGTTGACTTTATGAAGAGTGGAGGCGAGGATAAAAATCTCATTCACGAGGCGTTGCACGAGGTGACGGAGGAGGCAATAACAGCAGCGGAGGTTGTCGATGTTGAGTGTGTAAAGGATCGCACACTCGACCTTGTGTCGCGGACTCCTGTGTCCCGGTGGAACATATTCGAAGCTGTAAAGGAGCTGACCGCAGCATCGACGGATGTGGACAGGAGGAGGAAGAGAAAGTGTCGATGGCAAATGCTTGTTGCAGAACACGACACCGCAAGGACACACACAACAGACACGACAGTGCAGGACACAGATGGCACAGTATCTCTGGCGGATGTCAGGACCGTGTTGAAGAATCCTGCTGCGAATTCAGCGACTGTCCATGGCGGATTCAGAGAGTGGACATTGCCACCCAGACATCCTTCACGTGACTTCAATGAAGGACTCGAACAAGCATCGCAATAGGGAGATGATGTGGTGGTTCCTTATGACGAGAAGGGCGATGCACAGACAAGACCACAACAAAAGAACCCGACATTATCGGAGTCGGGAAAGAGCGGCAGTGAAAACAAAGGCGACGAGGTGGGCGAGGAATACGATCCTTATTGGGACGTAAAGCGAGGTGGTGGTCAGGGGTCGAAAGGGTGGTGTCATGCAATTTTGAGGTTGACGCGTGTTTTCTCAAAACCGCACCCGTTGATACGTGTTGTGGACAAGGTGGCAACACCGGACGGGCGTCTGTACTTCGCAGCAATTAAGACAATTATGTCATGCATGGAAAACGGCAAATGTTGGGCTAAGGCAACAAAATCATGGTTTGTTTTCATACATAAGGAGGTCATTCTCACGACATCGCTGTCATTGGATGTGAACCTCAGTTGCGTCATACATGGAGCAGTTGCCACTGCATGCGGCGGGACCGTGCACCCCTCAATGTCAACAGCGGCAGCAATTATACATGCACAACCAACACTCTGTCTCATTGGCACGAAAGACAACAATATCGATGCTGCTATGGACATACGCCAAACATCAAAGGAACAATCGAAACAGAGAAAATTATAGGGCTCTCTCTCTTTCTCTCTCTCTCTCTCTCTCTCTCACACACACACACACACACACACACACACACACACACACACACACACACACACACA